TTGATGAAGTCTGATGATATTCAATGAAGTTTAATGAATTTAATGAATTGTTTAAATGGATTGAAGTTACTAAAGTCATATGCAATCATCATTTAACTTTAACATTTAATTTTTAGTACAAACAAATGTATAAATTTAATGATTATTTTTGTTGTACATTCTTTTGAAACGGAGTTGTTTAAAGTAAAGTATACACCTCTGGATTAATGCTCGTCTTAGTCTTGGACTGATTGCATACCTCACTTCTTACAGTTTGTTAGTGACTGAAAATGAGTCAAAACTTTTCTGTTCACGACCTACCCATGTAGGTACCGTTTTATTTTACGGAATCATATTATTCACTTTCATGCTACTTTATCTCACATAATAACATTTATTTTGCGAATTAAAACTCGGTATAAACAATAAAATAAACCAACACCATTTGAATTTTGAAACTTAACTCTTTAAGCTTGACGTTGTCTTTAGTTGACGCCAGGATTTATAGTATTTCATCTGACTTTTTTTGTTAATTAAAAGACTTAATTATATCGGATTTATGCTTTAAATATTAAGCATGTTTAAAGTTGAGTGCTTAATAATAGAATTGGGTATATGACGCTTTTCTGAAAACTAATTAATTAAAATAGTTGTTTGATACATTATAAACACACTGTCAATATATTACATGAGAATCTGTTCTATTTTCGATGAATATAATTTTAAAATCTACAGATTATAAGAAATAAACTTTTATTAGATTATTATCTAACATGATGATAATAATACGCAACTTATTTTTATAGTGTCAAATACCCATAATGATAAAAATATTAATTATAAATTCGCGTTTCGGGTATTTTCCCTTGTAGCTTAACACTTAGGTATGCACTTTCTTAATGTAGCTAATATTCGGTTGTTTCGTCCTTATTTTAAAACGATCGAATACAAATGTAATACATTCATTATATAGTGATAAAAAAATGTATAATCATTAATCGTCTCCCGTTTAACTAATAATTTCATTTATTTTATTCTGGTAACACTAATTACAGCTGTTTGGTTCGGCTACGATTACGTTTCAATTTAGTAAACGTTCGTTTGATAATTGACGTTAGCAGAATGCAAATTTACAGCAAAAATCGAAACGTAACCGTTACAGAAACGCTATTGACGATCGATCGTTGAAAATTAGTAGAATTGGCCCCCAGATCGCTTCCTGGTATGGAGAACCTTATTTTATAAATGTGTAGCCCATTCTACTTTAGATTTACTACGTTAATTAATCATAGCAGTTATATGATTGTCCCTCTCTTTCAATAGAGAGAAATAAAGGACAAGAATGATACGGGATTAAATATAGGTTTGCACCATGTACGTACTCATCTTATTTTTATCAAGTCCTCAATATTTCGGCGATGCTACAAAATACAATTACATATATGTAACTATCATTCTAATGCACTGTATCTGTCTATATAAAAATATTTGCGACTAACACACCCAGCACTGAAAGGCTAATTGAATTATATTTGGAAGAAGCGATTTTTGGCAATATTGAATTATAATAGGAATAAGCAAACTTTTTGGCGATATACAATTATAATTGGAATAAACTTTATCGCAAAAATTAGCCTTTCAATCTTCGATGTAAACTCAGCTTGATAATAAGATGGTATGTCTAAAGAGACGTAGACAGTCTTTCTCCTTCTTTTATTAATAGCTTATCTGCGCATTTCGCATAATTCTGCCTATATCAAGTCAATAAATTAATTTCTACATGTGAAATGAAATGAATGAAAGATGGCGATGATTATGATTATCAGAAAGTCTTTAATCTCACTTATCATACCATAACAAGTGGAAAAGAACAATAAATCCTCGTTTACTTAACATTTTTACATTACTCTCTCTCTCTATCTTATTTGCTCACTTACTAAAACTTAGACCACAAATTTATAATTTATAATTACGTTTTTTGAAATTTATAATTACTAAAGATTGCCACGGAAGACTAGTGTTGGCTTATCTGAGAAATAAGACACATGCTGTGAGACTGCCATTTCAGTGTCATGATTTGATAGTTAATGGCATCCTTTTTGTCTGTCTTCTATGTATAATGTCTCTGAATAAATTATATTGTTTATTCTTCTTTATTTTCACAAAAACTAAGAAATCATTTTAAGAACAATTGTTCAGTTATAATGTTATAAACTAAATAAAACAAAAATGCATATAAAAGTAAGCTAAGGAGAAGGAATATTTTGCGGCTCTATCGACGTTCCTTGGAATCTAGGGCATTACCTTTCGAAATTGCTAGTGTGTACCAAGATTTATATTCCTGGCATAAGCAAATACCATGTTTCCCGTGAGAACATTGTAGCAGGATATCCATACCTACTAAAGTTACTGTTGGATTTTATATTATTATAATAATAGTATCAAATTTTGACTGCTTACTCACAATTTTTTCTTAACCAATCTGCATATGACTTATTATGGTAATTGACGAAAGCTCTACTAAGTATTTTTATACACTTTAAGTGTGAATTTTCTCGTTATTTTGATACGCATTCCTTTGCATAGCCTTTTCACGAAAATTGCTACGACAAAACAGTATTGAATTTGGCACAGATAGAGATTATACGGAGAAGAAAGTTAAACTTGTTACCAACATTCCTAATCACTTAAATATACATATATAAGTATGTAAATCCCTATTGCCTTATCAATTAAACCACTAAAACAGCTATACAATTTCTGTATTTTAAAAATATTGACATGTTATAGAAGTCTATTTCAGTAGTGATTAGATGTTTTGTAACAAAAAGTAACATTTAGAAACTGATTAAGGCCAAGCCTTACGTCCGTGTCGGATTTATAAAACACAAATGTGAGAAATACAAGGTCCACATAATGAAAAATAAATTAAATTACACACAAACAATTTTTATATTAAATGCCAACGATGATTGTGTTGTAACTAATTATGATTATTAATTTCTCTTTGGATTGATTGATTTGGGTTAATTAGATACTATATTCAATAAGTATATGTATTTATTTGTATAAAAATAATGTACCATTTCGAAAAGTCATAGTTTAGATTTTTATGCTAATAAGACAAAATCAGCTGCTATATTTTACTCGATATATAGAACAGAAAAACCCGGAGAAATTTAAATTAGTACTTGGACCACCAATGGTTTTGAAAAATTAACGGGTGCATTGAACTCTTTTTCTCGGCGTTTTGATGTCGATTGTACCCAGAATGGTTTGATCGATGTTAAGCTGTCATTAATTACTGTTTCTTTAAAGGTGTCGATTTGTATGATAAATGAGCATAAAGTAGAAAATGATCTTACTCCGTTAACCAAATCTGTAAATAAAACAAGTCCATTTTTTATCGATGACAACGTGATGCGGATAACATTAAAAAAAACATTTATAGCTTTTTTAATGAAAATTCGTCAATGCACAATACTATTGCCGTCTTTTGAAAGCTACTACACCTACACACAGTTAGTATCTGCAAGAACTCATGTGCACCGCCCGTCTAACCGCAATCAATGTCCATCCACAAGCGGCAAAAATGTCGCGTAACACACTCTACTCGTGATTCGACCCTCCACGGAGTATCCAGGAACTATTAGAGTAGCTCGGTGGCGTAGTGGATAAGCGCCGCGGCCCGCGATCGTAGTCGTTAAGCAACTTTCGCAAGGCTCGGGCACGGGATGGGTGACCAAAGCAATTATTATCTCGAGCTACTCCGTGCTTCGGAAGGCACGTTAAGCCGTTGGTCCCGGCTGCATTTGCAGTCGTTAATACCCTCCAATCCGCATTGGGCCAGCGTGGAGGGTCATGGCCCATCCTCCTTAACCATCCATAAGGAAGGCCTGAGCCCCCGCAGTGAGGACGTAAAAGGGCTGGTGATGATGATGATTAGATCTTACAGTGCCAATCACAACAAATCCAAAAAATGTTCCGTGGAAGATCTAATCACTTGTAGAGTGTTGGTTGCATGTGTATTTGTTTGCGGTTAGAAGTTGCTAGAAATTATATTCCCAGTTATAGCAATGGACTTCCGAAAGATAGACTTCCGATAAAATCTAAGTTCTTATATTTAAATGTATATGAAATAATGTGAAAGTAACGTACAGAATTTTAGTTTAAGCGCTTTCTTATTTATTTATAAGGTACTTACGGTAAACAAGGGCCACCTAACTTCAGAAACTAATAATAATGCTAATATGTGATAATAAATAAAAAATATATAATCTGGAGAACATATATTCTTATAGCAACGTAACTAAGTACAATTTTTGCCAAAGACTGTCTAATTTCGCTTCAAATAAACATTTTTTAAAACCCTTTCTATGGCCCTTATTAAGCATACGTAGTTTAATATGGACCATGATCTTGAGTGAATACTTAACGGAATAAACAAAATAAACATAATATTTTTTAGCTTCCTATAGCTCATACTATCATTTGACATGAAATCACATTCATGAATACACATAAATCAACGACAAAAATAGTAATGGACCTTATTGAAATAAAGAAACAAAAAAAGTTAAAAAACCATATTGCCTAACAACATATTATTAGAATTTTCATATGTCTCAACAAAGTATACTTTCCTTTAAATAAAACTTTGACATATAAAAAAAAAGAAAGACATCAAAAAATATCAACAAATTCTGTGGACCTTATTAAACTTATGGAAAATTAAAACTTGTTTCACCTATCACATTCAGTGTGTTTTTCTTAATAATTACCTACCAGTGACGCAATCTAAGAAAACTCAACTAAGCAACCTCAATAAAACCACATCTATAACAATGTTATTCTAGTACGTAAACAAGTACAGCGCAGTTAAAAATATAATGTAAATTTAAATGTTAATCAGTCTTCTAGTAGGAACAAATTATATCTTAAATATTTTTTGTCATAATTATAGATTTTTATAATCAATAATTTCAATGGATTTTAAATGTCCAATGTGCAATTAATTAGGATTAGTTGCACATTGGACATTCAAAATCCATATCCTTTTTCGTTAAGCCCAAGCATTCTTCGTGGAACCATTTGTTGCATGAAAAACATTTTCGCATTGCTAAAAACCGCTCTTCATTACACGCGTAACAGTACCACTTGTCTTCTTCATCTATTGTGTTGTGATTTTCTTTTGTTTTTTTATTGTAAACTTTTTTTTTCTTTTGGTTCTTCTTAATTCCACTATTAGATGCTTTTTGGTTCCTTTGGCGTTCTTTTTTATTTTCTCTGTCAGTAAATATATCCTTTGTTATTATGCGGCCTTTATAATTGATTGCTTTGCGCCTTGGTTTTTGTTTTATGACGGCATAGTTTGGTGTAGACAATAATTTTTGAAATGGGGTTTTAAGACTCTTTTTGATTCTCAGTCTTTCTAATGGAATATTGTAATCCGAGTCGTCGTCGTTACTTGTTTCAGAGCCTTGCGTTTTTACATTAACATTGTTGTGACACGAGGTCCTAATTTGTTTGATAGGAGTACCTTGATCTTGTGGCAATGATAGCTGATATTCATTTTCATCTTCAGATGAATTGTATACATTTAAAGCCTGCTCTGCAACATTTTGTAGTCGAGATCGATGATGCAAAATGAATGCTTCTTCTTCATAATTATCAGTAATAGAAGTATCTGACTCAGAACTGTGAATTATTGGTCGTCTGATTGTATCATGAGGCCTGTTTAGTTCAGCTAACACGTTATTGTTTGCAGTGTCAGAGTCTGTTGAGCTATAGTCGACTAGACAGTTTTTATTGCTCCTATTCAATTCTGAACTGGTAGAAGGACACGTTTGAGAATCAATCTGAGTCAGCAAAGATGGAGAATTTCTATTAAAGTCTTCAATAAAAGTCTTGTCAGAATCGGAACTATTAGGGCTGGGAATTTGTAATTCACGACGTACGTTTGTTCCGGAAGGACCAGGAGTTGGACACTTATGTCCAATGATAACTTGCTCTAGAGGCTTTTCAGTGAGCAATGATGGTGCATATGCTTCAGTTGGGATTACGTCTGGGTTATATGGATAGAGTCCTGTAGCCCTAAACCCATTCACTACATTCTCATGGCTCATACATTTCGACCAAACTTTGCTAAAAATTACATTAAAGCGGGCTTTAGTTAATTTTTTATCAGGATGTTGATATAAAAACGACAAAACTTCCTCATCCCAATGATGCTCAAATGATTTATTTACACTCTTATCTAAAGGCTGGAGCTCGTGTGTCGTGTTTGATGGTAAGCAGTATAAAACTATATTTTCTTTATCAGCTGCCTCAACAATTGTATAGTCCAGGTGACAAGAAGCGCCATCAAATACTAGCAAACACTTGTCTCCCATTTTATATTTTCCTAAGTGATGGATAAAATCAACGAACAATGATGCGGTCATGCTTCCTTTTGGGGCCATTCTTACAATTGATCCTACTGGTAAATTGTCATAAAATTCAGGTTTTGCTCTTTTGCCCTTAAAAATTATCATAGGGGGTATAGCACTTCCTAAGGCATTTACACAAGCTGCAACAGTCACGTTTTCAGCGTGTTCTGGAGCAACCATATGCACCCTCTTAGATCCTTTTTTTGCTAACACCACGGGCTGATTGTGTATTGTCAATCTACAACCTTTCTCGTCCATATTGAACAAGCGCTCGGGTTTGTTGTTGATATTTAGCTCTTCATAAATTTTTCTGTACTCTTCAAAATGCTGCATTACAATATTCTTATTTAATTTTTGAGCCCTACCTGGATTCAAAATTTGTACTTTGCGTTTTGATATATCGGGGTGCCTTTTTAAAAAGAGTTTTAGCCAGTCTTTCCCAGCCCGCTTTGAGGATTTATTAAAGTTATTAGGAATATCATTTTGGTCACAAAAAATGTACGCCTGATGTCGAATAACTTTTGGTGTTAACGGAAAACCTACGACTGCAAGTCGTTTGATTCTGTATGCTAGATCACTTTCTTGCTCTGCGGTCAAAACTGTGCGACGGCCTATTTGTTTTTCTATTTTTCCGGATCTCAGATGGTTTACCAAAGTTCTTCTGGGAATTGAATATCGTGCGGCCGCTGCCCGTTGTGACAACCGTCCCTCGTTAACAGCTGCCATTGCAGCTTCTAATTGTTGTAAGGACCAAAGTCCGCGAACTTTCTTGGCAGGAGGCTCCATGAGTGCGATCTAAAAACAATAAAAAATCCTTCAAATAATAAAACAACAATAAAGAAATTTAAACATAAGCTGTGTAGTTTGCACACTAGCACCACCAATGCAGTTTTATTAATTGTAATGATTTTAATACATTGAGACACAAAATCTGTCTGGGGTGTACTGTGTAAGAGTTTTACATAATGTTATAAACAAAATAAACTTTTATTATTCAAAGTACACATTCAAAGGTTTAATAAGGGCCGGCCCCTTTACCCGCCTTTCCTCTGGCTCTTATTAGACTTTGGTACTTATGTTACTTGATCGGATATAGAATTCACTAAATGAATAAAATCTTTTGAACTTACCCTGCTTTAGCATCAATCAAACTGTAAGGTTTACTTTGTCACACCGAGTTTTATAAACGACACTATATTTCACTTACAATTTCGTTGCATTCAAGAAAAAAAATTACTATTAAGTGACATAGACCAACTCTCTCAATGGCGACGCGGCTACTGGCAAGATGGCGGATCGCGCGAGACTGTGCTGGCGTATTTAAGTCTTCCTATTAGTCCTTTACATGTGTGTGTAAGTAGACTAAAATCAAACCGTTAGAAGTATATTATTGTGTTAGTGGCCCTTGATAAACATCGGCTCTTGATACCCGCAGGTACCTTAATCTATTATGAGTAATAAATCATGACTAATTTTATTATTCTAGATCGCGCCAATTGGATAATCTTAAATTACGTTAAGTAGTGAGAGGATAGGGCGCCAAGGGCAGTAAAAGTAGAATTTGGTTTTGACCTGAATTTCATAAATTTCTGTACGTGGAGTTATTTAATGATTGCAGTATGTAATGGATTGCATTCACATTTTAACGCATTAATAAAAACATGAAAATAGATTGGGTGTGTTAAAAAGTTCTACGTTTTCGAATAGATATACTCGTAAAAGTGTTTAATCGGTCACCGGCTACAAAATAACTCATTTATCAATTTTTCTTTAAAAAATAATTATAATCACCTATTTTATATATTTTTACTAGCTTTCCGCCAGCGGCTACGCCCGCGTGATCTTGTATTATACATAAAAACCTTCCTTTTGAATCACCCTATCTATAAAAAAAAAACCGCATCAAAATCTGTTGCGTAGTTTTAAAGATTTAAGCATACATAGGGACAGAGAAAGCGCCTTTGTTTTATACTATATAGTGATTTCGTAATCGATTTCGTAATTTTTAGAGGCATTGTTCTTATTTCATTGACATATTTTAATCTACTCTATGCATCTGCTTTGTGTATATATCACAATGACGTCATGAATATTACGGATAGCGTTTCCGCGGATAAAAAAAAAATGTTTAAATTTTGATTTAATTTTAAGGCAAAAACCTTGTTTATTTTTCCAAAATATAGGTTTTATGGTTTATTGAACAAAAAAAATAATTTTAAGGTATTTTACCTTTTTCTTTCCCCAATGTATTTTTTTTTGTTCGAGAATATTAAGAGAATTTTGGTTGCGATTATACCTTTAAATACATGTAATACCTATAGCTTCGTTAGTTAATTGAAACTTCTTTGGATATTAACAATGATAATAATTTTAACTTTTATAGATGTTATAATGGTTATCGGTGTAATTACTGAAGGCTCGCTCTGTTTCTCTGAAAACGAAATTTCGACAATTTTTTTAAAAACTTGTAGTAATTTATGATGGAACGGAGATAGGACCTAACCCTGGCTCTGACGCATAAATTATCTTCATGAATATACATATTTGATGATGAGAGTTTTAATATATTTCAATGACATTGAGACTTTTTCAAGTAGTTTATTAATAAGATTAAAGAGGTGCTTAATGATAAACTGAAAATTGAAATTATCTATCTTCTGATTGTCCGTTTCTTCTTTGCCTTCTTGAAATATTTTGACTCCGTTATTGTTGCTTTATCAGCTACATCACTTTTGAATACAACTTGCACAGCTTTGTGGTTCGTATACTTTTCCACCTTTTGGTCACTTTTATCATCAAGTGGATCTTCTGTTATATTATTTTTAATAAAACTAGCAATGAATAATTCATCAGCCATGTATGATGTTGAAGAATCAGGATCATGGGGTACTACTTTCTCGAAAAATTTAATCTCTTGCTGTTTATTTACTGCAAATCTTTCATGCTTCTTTCTCGTCGATTTTTGACATTCAAATTTATGTGGAAGCACTCCCTTCTTGAGTTTTATTCTACCCCCAACTAAATTAAATTTCACATAGTTCTCCATATCACTTTCAATCTGAAACATCGTAAAAGTATGTAGTATAAAATAATACGTAGAAAAATATGTAGTCTGCTATTTTGTAATGATGGTCATCTTGGATTTGATTATTTTTATTGTCTATTATATTCTACAAGTTAAGCCTTTTCATTTGATACCCATATTGCGTAGGTTATACAAAAATATGTAATCCGCCATTTTGTTGCAGTTGCCATTTTGGATAACCAACAATACTGATTGTATTTACAGTGTCATTAAACTAAGAGTATATTTTAAATCTCTAAGAATTTATATTGTAAGATTTGATCCGTAAAAACTAACAACAACAACTTTTCAACTGTTTCATCGTGTTTGTATTTTGCAGACATGCGAAAAACCATATGGCATGACATTTCGTACCACGTAATATTACACTAAAGCAGTACTGTAAACATGACCTTAGATGAGACGCTATGTGTACGGCTCGCTATTACGTAGCGGGCAGCCGGAACGATGAACATTTAGAACATTCATATACCTGTAATTGAACTGAATAGATTTATTCTTATTGCATGGCATATCAACTATCTATAATGAGTATTTTTTTACATTCAACGAGTTATTTTTTTATATGCAATGAGTAATTTTCATTTTTTTATTATTTTTATATATTTATTGTTTTATTCTTAATATTTTTTATTACAGATAATAAATACTAAATGGCCATTTTTTTTTATTTATCCCGAAAATAACAGTACCTACGCCTTGCCGCGTCGGGAGTGGACACTACAATATGTCGATGTCATGTTCGTTGCCATGCCATGTTTAGCGTCATATGCCCTGCTTAATTTTATCGGTTAATACGTACTGTTACAATACACAGTCATGTCATATTACGCGTTACACATTACTTACACATCTCTAGTGTTTGTTTTATTGACGTTTCGGACCCTTTACAGGTTCCGTGTTCACATATTTTGGAACTAGTGGTAGATTGCGATAGTCAGAGGTAAATAAATACGTCAAATATATTTTTAAAACAATGAAGGTAGCTATATTCTTAATTAAAAGACAATCAACACCTTAGTCTTATATTAACACGGAACCTGTAAAGGATTCGAAACGTTAATAAAACTAAATACAAACATGATAAAACCATTTAAAAGTTGTTTCATTTATGGACAGTGCACGTGAAATATAAGAAATCAATAAACAAATAAAATTTGTAATAATAACCTAAAATAAGAACGTTCCACAAATATCGAAAAGTAAAATATAAGACTGTAACCCCATAGGGTGAGATTTAGTCGTCGAATATGGTTAATAAAATACGAATCTAAATAGATATTTAAAATAAAATGAAAAATGTAATCTTTAAAAATATTAATCCAGAAAAATGCAACAAGAGGACTAGAACGGGCAACCAAATGTTGACAACCAATGACCCACATACCTTACAACAAATGTATATACCAAATAACTCAATATTACACTTACATCAAAATGATCTTCACAGCAATAAACATTACTTTTGGCACTAAGTGTATCCACCCTATTCATTGCTTGTATCCATTTATTTCGGGTCTTAGTTTCATATGGAACAAGAAAAAATAACTTTGCGGGTGAATTGTTCGTTGTATTATAGCATTTTGGCACAATACAACATTTCCTAGTTTGTGGATTCGACATTTTAAAGAAACCACAAGCTGCTCACGGTTAGGGAGCGGGACGGGTACTGAGTTATCGTTGCAAACTGACGTCATGGCGGCGGGCAATGACATAGCGTTCAACGCACACACAGAAAGACGTCAACGCCATATTGTAAACTACACGAACGCGACGTAATAAAAATAATAAAGCTTATTCTTCTCTTATTTCAGGTCAAAATATTCAAAAAGTCAGCGTACTAAAGTTAAACTAAAATAATATTGCACCTCTAGGCTGGGGTAAAAATGTTTTTATTTTGTGGCTATTACCATGAAGGGAACAATATTTACTTCATTAAGAACATTAACAATTTGAAAGTAGAATGTATAATTATTATAACTATAACAAGTTTATTTCTTAAAGACGAAAGATTTTATTTTTTATTTGCTCTTTGCGTTTTTTCATAGTCTATTCAATAATAGACTCTGAAAATGATGAACTGAATCTTACAAATTATTACATTTTATTGAAGAAAAGACTCACTTTCCTAGTAGAAACATTCATGTTTTAGAGAAATGTAAAGACTGTCAATAATTTATAAAATAAAAATAAAAACATATAAAATATAATTTAAAAACATATTCCATATCTCGCCAACACTACAGACTTATAATTTCGGTTCTGTGACTTTCACGGGAAAACAGCTATATAGTCTTATTTATTTTCATGACAGGACTAAATCTAAATGTAATTATCGTCTGAAGAAAGTATTTAATAACATAAAGAAGTATCCTTTGAAAAATTCACCAGTACTAGGTTCAAACACACTAATAAATTAAAATGAAAACCATAAACCTATTTTTTTGTTCAATTTTCCCATTCCTACAAAAAACCATAAACCATAATAAATTAAAACGATAAAGTAATAAAATCTCGCCAAAAATATTATCATGTATAATGCAGAACGTAAAACGTTCCCAAGTCAAAAAGTTATCAGATTTATCATACTCCACAACTCTACACTTTATTCAAAACATGCGATTTGACCATTTCGTTTCTAAAAACAAGAACTATAGTATAACAGAAAAATAATACATACCCTAGATAAATATGCAGATAACAAAATTTTCACCCTATTTGACGTTAGCAAATGTAACATAACGTAAAAAATAGTTTTAGATCTAGAAACTGTAGTCATGTTTATACAGCAAATATCAGTGAGCGATTAACATCTCGTTAAATATTTTATCTTTGGTCAGACCAATTCGCCTTCGTAAGTACTTGAAGTCCTTTTAAAAATTGTTCCTTCTTAGTTTTCGTAAGAAAATGCTAACGCCACCTATTGACGATGAATAATAGCGTCACGGTGATATTTACATTCTACGTTGTTAGTTTATTCACTTCGTCTGTCAAGAGATGGCATTGATATCAACATTTTATCTTATGAAATCTTCATATTTATTTTATAATCTAGTATGTATGTAATAATAGATAATAAAATGAATATGAAGATTATATATGATAAAATAAATATAAATATTATCTACTATAAAATTCTACGTTAATTTCCAAAATACCTATATTTGTCTTAATTACAAAATGATTTAATACAAGTCAATCATATGAGTTGCATTTTTAAATTACAATTTGGTAATTGAAAAACCGAACCGGTTTTGCCTGCATCGAGAAAGGCTTGCTATTGCGACTTAGTTCCGGTCGTGTTGGCACATAGTGAGAGTATATTGGGATTTTAATAAAGCATTATAATATATGAACAGTTGTTAATATATTGATCACCATATACTATTCATCATAAGCCTATTCATGTCCTATTGCTGGACCACAGACATTGCCACCTCGCGGGCATGGGGACCATTATAAATAACGTTTTAGCTCCGCATTGCATTGCAACTGTATACCTATAAATGGATCACGAATATAAGTAGCTCCTCTGTTCTTACTATAGGTATACGTAAAATAGCATTCTACTTTTCTTAATATATTCTCTTTAAAAGGATATATAGTATAATAAAGGTAAATGTAAATTACTAAAGGTCAAAAATAAATATATTCAAATATGTAATTACCTCACTTAAATTTATATTTGATAAATACGTAAATTTCATTTTTGGCATTTTATTACAAAAAATATTTATAATCTATACGTCTATACCTATTTCAAATTCATTGGTCCTCCAAAACCTCTCCATTTTTTTCTGTATTTTTATCAGTGGCTATCATCGATTTCGGCATAATTATCCTACTAAAAATGTAATCGCGAAAGTATGTAAGTTTATTACTCGAAAGAGTAACGCAGAAAGAATTTTAATGGGTATACGGATAATTCTCATTTTCTTTTTGAATAAATATAATAATAAAGTAGTTTGCGTCGCATTATTTTACGGGTGTTGCTTGCTCCGTGTTATACTAACAAAAAACCCAACTAAAGCCGTACAGTCCGGACGTATGAATATTTGGCCGGACACGAACTAAGAAGCCAAACATGTCCGGATAAAGGCGGACAGACTGTACACGTGTAAACCGACACCAATCTAATTTTAGTATTTCAAAGAGACGTGCAAACGATGACCAAGGTCACAATAACTTTCTCCGTCTCACGTGTTAAAAAAATGAACCGGAATCTGTTCTATAATAAATAAAAAACGAGTATAATACATAAGGGGCCTTACCACGAGCTCTCGATAAATCTAAAATACAACTACCATATAGCCGCGACTACTGATTGATAATTAACCTAACAATAAATTGTTGTAAAAAAAACTGCTTGTTGTGGTATTTCAGTAATATTTCCTTATTACAAGTGCTAATAGATATTTTATTTTGGAACTGAGTAATGTATATGATATTGTCCAATATTTTTGAATATTATTTATTTATTGTAGACATGCCAACAGTGCACATTATCAAAAAATTAATAATAAGATTGATTACAAACTATTCTGATATCTATATCAACTCAGGCATGTCACTGTATTCAAAAGAAACTAAAATCCATATTATCTAGTATTATAATATAGGCTGTTTATTTTCTTAGATAATAAACAATAATTGTCATATTACAACCATTTTGTATACGTGATAGTCATCGTGTAAATATTATACATACTATCGTTATCCAAAGTATTATTCCATTTATTTATTTATTATAAATATCTTTAGTCAATTAATTATAATATCCTTTTAATGTTGAGTCTCATCACGGGGTACGTAGGGCTGGTGGATTTTTTAAGAGTTTTTAATTAAAAATACTTACCAGCACTGTAAATGCAAAATTGAAAAAATATAATAAATAAAATATCATTCTCAAAGATTGTGGTAAGGCCTCTGATACGAACATGACTTGCTTTTATCATTGACCTTCAAGTATACTGTAGCTTAAATCACCTTTACACCAAACTGAGTGCTGTAATCATTTTCCGAAAAATGGATCCTTTGTATATCAATATTTTTATCATAGAACTTATTATTTTAATCGTAAAATGCAATATCCCACTTAATGGGATATTTTTTTTTACAGCAGTGTCACTTTGACTGTCGAAGACTGATCTATACTAAGATAGGAACGATATTCAAACTTAGTCTTGTTATGAATTTATTAGAAAATTATTGTCGATATCTTTGTAAAAGCTTTATTGACTATTGTCATTGATAAAACATGCAGTTCTGAGAGCATCATATCAGCAATAATCTTAAGCAGACACTTTCACTTGTCACCGACGTCAGTCAAACTTTATGATGGTTCTATACGGTCTCATAAGCTATGTAATATCTTCCATTAGCATAATTATTATAATAATGTGCTCACTTTTATCTCCTTCTATGGCAGATAATAAAAAACCTTGCATATTTAAATTTGTAATACTTGCAGACAACTTTATTTTAATAGTGGTATACCATTAAGTTTCAATAAATATAATAAATACACAACTAAAGATTTATATATTACTAAAATGGACTGCAGAGTAAAAGCAAAAACTAGTTTTATAAAAAAAGTACTATAATTACTATTATTTACTCTTTAAAAGCTATTTTTCAAAAAAAAACATGCAACATGCATGACTTCTTTGCAAAATAAATCATGAGTTTTTCCAGCATAATATTGCTATTTTTAACCGACTGCGCGACGCAAAGGAGGGTAATGTCAGTCTATGTATGTATGTTTGTTTCTATGTGGCGTTCGTTTGTTTCTATTTTTTCATGCAGTTTTTAAAATTCGTTTTTACGCAGTCGGGTTTTTTGTTTTTATTTTTATTTATTTTTATTATATTCGTTTAACAATAAATCACAGAAACTTCAAAAATTGTATGCTTTATTGAGTATTTTGAATAAACACTTACGTCGAAATAAAAAAAAATAGAAAAAACGCAAATACGGAATCTCTTTTAAATAAAATAGTGTCTAAGAAAGAATCTGCAAATTCATAAGTATTTGGGATTACTTTAGGAGATATACAAAAATTGATACAACAAACAGTAATTATTACATGTTATTTCTATCCATTGTAAAAGCTTTTACTTGTTCTTGGTACATCTTGTGTTTTTCTTCCAATGTTCGCAATGCACTGGAAGGTCGAACACCGCCAACGTTGACCATAAAACTTATTTGTACTGGTGGCACATCATCTCCTGTTTTCTCTTTATCGGTATTAATACCTCTACTTCTTGCACTAGATCTGACAGATTTCGTTATATTAATATTTCTGTCATCTTCTACTTTTTTGTTATATTGATTAGAGTTAGAATGTTGTAATGCATTAGTTTTAGTTTCATGCGTATGGGCACTCTGCTTATTATTTCCATGTTTTTTAACTTCGTTTTTAATTTGATATTTTTCATTCCTTTTCATGTTTGCTGATTTAGGTTTTATTTCAGATTTTTTTACTATTTTGGAAGTTCCATTTTCTATTGAATTGTTGACGAGATAAGATGCATTCTGTTCTACTTTTGGAGAATCTTTCGACGAGCACCGTTGTCTTGCAGAATTATTTGCATTCGTTCTCTTTTCGAGCTCTATCTGAAGTGATTTCTTATAAATCTTTAATCTGTTTTCCATTCTAACTTTTTCTGAATACCGCTGCAAACTTCGAGCTCTTTCTAATCTTGGCTTGATTTTCTCCATATCTGGACCAAGGCCACCTAGTTTCATATTATGTAAAGGTTGAACGGTAGCTCTTCTCATGCGACGACGTGGCTGAGAAACTTCAGATATACTTTTCAGATTATTTTCATCGGCAGATTGACTTTTATCGTCATCCAAATTTAGACCTGCGTCAAAAGAATGTTCTGAATAATTCTCAAGCTCACTGTTAAGAATTTTATCATAATACATTTCATTATAAGCTTCTGTCTCATAGAACTCATTTACTGGGCTGTTATCTTCTTCCCCGAAGCTTTCTCTTTCAGTATCTCCAAATTCGGGAGATAAAGAACGTATTTCGTGCTCCTCTTCCTTCTTTCCAACATTATGGTGAATGGTGAATTGTTTTCGAAACTTCTCTAAATACGATGAACGCTTATCTTTTTTAACGTCTCTTTTAACAAGATAACTGCTTCTCGAATGAGTATCCTTTCTTGAACGATGTTCTCGTTCTTCTAATATCTTCTTTTTATGAACTTTGTTTACTTTTATAAGTACATCTTTCTCGTAAAATGGTACTAATATTGTATCAATGTTATTGTCATCTGAAGGTGAATCACATTTTAGTTTTGTGTTTCTATTAAAATTATGCTCTAAGCTATCTAAAGATATATTGCTATCAGAACTTGAACCTTTATCCATAATTCTTGACAAAATATTGAGTCTTTTTCTTTTTCTCATAAACAAATACGATGAAGTTTCCATAATGTCACAATGACACATAATTTTTTTTTAAGGTTTACTGCAATAAATAGTGGCAATTGTTGAATTCTCCTTGTTGAATATAAGAATATTTGAAAAACATGCATCGCCATTGAACATATTACCTCCTTCTTTCGATTTTAAAGGTGGTTTAAAAAATATTTTGTCCACCTGTGTTGTCCGAGTATTGTTCAAAGAGCATGAGCTTTAATCTCTGCTTAAGAGTAATGAAGCAGTACTATGGGCAGAGGTGGGACCTTTCCAAGTGACAGCTGACATTTTTACTAATGCCATCGAACAGTAATTCTTGTTGAGGGAGACCTCCTTCTTGGTTTAAGATCTTTTTAATTTTAATTTAAATATTGACAATCTGTTCTGCACATGCGCGTCTATTGTTTATATATATTAATGTCTCTCTTCGTAAAGCTGTTGTCGGTGCTGTTTGTATTTTATAAAGTATATATATTTTTGGTGGTAAATAAACTCATATGACCTAAAAGCTCCCTGGTCTTTCTCTATACCCGTTTTACCATCGGGTATCAAATCTTTCATTCATTTCATTTTCATTTTACATCTAATAATTAATTTATTCGCTTGACATTGGCAGGATTGTGCGAAATTCGCAGATAAGCCATTAATAAAAGAAGAAGAAGAAACTCTGAAAACTGAAACGTCGATAGTGATGTAGCAGGCAACCAAACAAGGGGTTTGAAGTTGCTTAGCAACACAATTGTTGACTTCGATAAAAATATCGAAATTATATTCAATATAAGTTTTAGAAGAAAAATATTTCAATAATAAAAGCCATAGGGCTTCGAAAGATAATTGTGATACTTGGTGCGTAAATATTGAAGTCCTTCTTGTTAGGAAGAAACTATGGAAATGCATTGAAAAGTACATTAAATAGTCAGTTTGATAGAAGAACATATAGAAATGCTAGTGAAATAAACATTTTATTATTCTATCTACGTACGTATGTTTCATTTTTTTTAAATTTCTAAGTAGAAAAAAAAATTGTTAGGTATATATTATTTCATACCAATTATATTAACATAACCTACATCGTATTAACATAGTCACGCTATCTAACGGAAATTCCGTTAAACCTATATCTGTCAACGTTCTCAAAAAATATTGGAGAGTGAGCTCTCTTTTCCCCAATATGTACTTTTACACTTTGTATATGGGGAAAGCTCTGCTTATTTCACTCAATGGCACCTAAACCCTTTAAATAACTATATTGTAATTAAAGAAATATCCAGACACATTTTATAACATAAAATTATAAAATGTTCTTGATAGAAATTATGCATTGTTTGATTATAAAGAACCATATGTAAAATTCACTGTTCTTTTAATTAAATGTTTCTCGTTATTTTATACTCTTTTTAAAGGCAAATTAATAAAAGTTTGTTATTTTGTATTCGAAGAACCTTGTAAAGGTCTATTTTGCGCTTAATATGATTTGTTATGGGTTTTTATTATTAGAGTGTTTGTATTTTCGTCTTATAATATTATTTCAAAACTGTTGATATTTGCATTACGTTTTGTTAGCCTGACGTAAGGTTTTAATTAATGCTTTCTTAAGTAGTAAATTTAAACCATAAATCTTTCACTTGTTGAGAGTTTGGAAGCGTAGAGCTGGCTTTCGACCAAATCGGGATATCTGGATAGTGCTTTATGTCAGAATCCATTCTAGTAATGGGGATAACTTAGAAGCTTTCTGGAAACAAAATTCATTCAATTTAAATTTTTATTTTTCTTTAGTACTCTAATCAAAACAAAATTATTTATTTAGTCTAAGCTGTAACAAGTACTTGTGAATATCGAAATCTATGACATCGGTTCGTAAATCTACAGCAAGAGACCTTGTACCGAGAAGAACCGGTAAGAAATTCAACAGGGGACGCTTTTTTCTTCCTGTTTTATTTCATACAGAGACGTCAAACTTGAAAATGGCTTTAATGCATTATGAAGTCACTTTCCATCACAATATTAGACGCTATTATAACAAAAATATGATATACTAAGTAATGGCTCGCGTAAAATTTTCCTAGTAAACTATAGAGAAATAGGAGACGAAGAAGGAATAGCTTCAGATTGTGCCTTACCTAGATGAAATTTTTAATTCAATTAGTAGTTTCCAATATCCAATTTCCTTTTCGTCAAAGTGGGAATTAAGTGCAATAATCACTTGAAGCTTCACAATACATAGATCTTGAATTAGGCATACCTAAATCTATTCTCATAACTCTAAATAATGTTTAAGTAATCACTAAAACTACTACGTCGCAAAATCGCATGACTGAGGGATAATTATATGTCAATTCAATATTTATATGTTAATTTTTAATTGATTAAATTCTTTAAATACTTATAATCAAGGATAACTACTATATGATAAAAACAACGCATGAAAAAAACATATTTATACGAATTATTTCATATAATAACCATTACTAAAAAATATATATAAAATTTATGAGTCCTTGACCATAATTTAACCCCGGCTAAATGCCTAATATAGATATTACCAAATTTATCGTGACTAATTAAGAGGGAGTGTACACCCAAAATCACTAAACGCAACTGGTTTTGTACAAAAAAATTACGTCCAAATAAGCTTTACACAAAAATGAGAAAACTAAATCACCTGCTTAAAAGTACTGTTACGGCCAAAACGTGAGTATCTAAAATTTTCTATATAAAAACAAAATCCAAAGATAGCCCTGATGTTAACCATTTTTGCTATGATTATACCCATTCTAAAATTATAAATATGTAAGGTGCGTTATAGCCGACGAATTTATGCAGAACATTAAAATAAAATTTAAAAATTAAAATATTTTTCGAATACTTAATTAATAAATACGTTTTGCTGATTCGCTGCTGATCTGTTGGTCCCAGAAGAATAAAAGTTAATATTATAAAATTAAAAACTTATGCACTTTTAAGAGTAAAATCTGGCTTTTAAACATGAACTTAGTACTTACAATTATTATGGTAAAATACGGTTAAAATGAGTTAGAGTATATATACTATATAGGTCCGGGCTAATACAGTGCAGAAGTAGCCTTTTTTAATCCCAGGCGCAAAAAGAGGGGTGTTATAAATTTGACCTGGAAACGTTTGTCAGTCAGAAATCTGTCTGTGGCAGCTCCTGGATGAATGAACCGATTTACTTACTCTATCGAACCTATTAGATTGCAGTTTTTTATCGATAGTCTCTTTCGTCAGAACCGTATTACGATATAAATTTTTCTTTATTAGAAATTTCATTTAGTTAGATTAGAAATTTGAAATTAATTAAATTAAAAAAAAAATCCTTTGTATAAACAAGTTGTATTATAGCTTGGCTAAACAAAATCCTCATTGCAGTCTGGGGGACCCTTAGATTGCAAATATACCATAGAACCATCCCAACAGCAACGACAATGCTAAAAAAGCGTATGAAAGAAATTATCTAATACAAAAATTTCTCAAAATTATGTTGTAGTTTAATGATTTTCACGCACATATTTCCTATTTCCAATTGAGCATGAATGTTAGTGGCAATAAATAAAATTTCACATATAAATAAAAGAAAATGGTAAATCCACTATTCCTTTGAACAATAGTAAAATGTTATTAATAAAATGTGGTGATTATAACTGATTTGAAGGCCATAATAAACAAATTGAGATTCACATATGTAATGGTTAATAATTTGCACATTAAAATGAACTTTGATTAAATGACATAGAGTATAGTCTGTAAGGTGTCAGTAATGATATTTTAGAGGCTACTGCGATGTAACCAAAAGGTGAACAAGTTTATAACTTATTACCTTTGAAGGAGATCAAAGATTATTTGAAGACCTCCGAGGCTGAAATGTATGACGTCTCCTCGAGTCCTGTTTCCATGTTTGCTCACATTTTATTTTCACGACTAAACTAGTAGCTCATCCTTATAAATTAATATATGTAATGCAAAAATTTTATAGGTTTACAGAGCAGTTGTTAAGACGATACCCATATGAAGTACTAAATCTGGAAATGTTAACCAAAAAAATAAACGTATTTTTTCAGAAGAACATATTATTCTTAAAGCGGAGGATAGGAGCTAAGCTAAACAAATCTAATAATGGTCATACCGTAATTAGATTTGTTTTTTGACATTTGAAAATATAGGTTTTTATAATCAAGAACTATTGGGAAATAAAAAAGAAGATGAGAAAAGCTTTAGTAATAAGAAAGATATTATATTTCAGTGCTGAATTGCAGTCCAATAAAAGTAAAGTAATTCTTTGGACACAACGTAAGAGTTCAATAACTTGGTACCTATTCACGCGTTTTCGAAAATGTAAATTTATTATAAGATCTTAACTATATTTTTATACATGCACTTTTGATAAAAAAATTGGTAATAGAAATAAGCTCATCGAATTCGAGGTAACTGAAAATTAATCGGCAATTTGGGTGTTTTGTAATTTGACTAACAATAGATGAATAATCTTTAAAAGTTATTTTATCTTCGTTGTATATGTTCTACTAATAAATTTTAACGTTTTAATTGTTAAGAAATAAATATGCAGTAAAATATTGAGTAATTTCTCTTTTAGCATGCCATGTTTAAAAAAAGCAATGTGTGTTTTGTTTTCAGTTGAATTTAAATTTTACACACAAAGTATTAAACTTTTAAATCAAGTTGAGAAATAATCTTTATCTATCTTTAAGAAATATATATACCTATTTATAAATTGTGAGCAGTGATAGTTATTAATCTGTCCTGATAGATTATTAACTATCATTTAAGTTTAGGTTAAATTAACATCATTTAAGTTTAGGTTATATTAACATAATTTCAGTATGACTATAAAATGCAACGACATTTATAATAAATTTTACGTTGACATTAAAATATACGATCGACGAACATCCTTTGAAATGTAGCAAAGTAAT